ATAGAGATCCAATTTAATTTTCTTTCAAAATGCTAGCAAATTTTTCTACCATCTTTTATTTCATTCTTCTCTGATTTGAATCTGCTTTATTGCTCTACTCGTCTATTTCTGTGCCAGTACCATACAATCCTGATTACTTTGTAACAAGTTAAAAACATACACCTTTTAAATTTGGAAAATTTAACTATGGAATGGGTAGAGGAGAAAAGTTTATGGAGGAACTCTTGTGTCCCAAGCAAGTTTTAAGGCTTATCTCTTTGCTTCTCTCTTTCTTGTCATCCAGCAACCCCTCAAATGAGTCTCTCCTTGGGAACTTAACACAATGTGATATTTCCAGTTAGACAATAATAATTATGGGCATCCACCATGTAGAGATTAATGCTCTAAGCATTATGGGTCCATGGGAAGGAATGGTAGCAAAAAAGTATGAGATGCTGACCTCAGAGTTTCATGAGCAACCTTTAGCAAATGACATAGTTTAGAACAGTGGGACTGTATCAAGGAATGAGCCCTGAGCTAAGGTTACGGCTGCCACCACTATGGCTTGTGCCCCTGGAACATTTGAGTCCTGGACTTGGGTAACTTTCAGTGTTAATGCAATGGTCAAAAGTTACCCCAAATCACCTATATTCCCAAGTACCTGAGTCCCTCTTCTCCAAGTAGCTGGCTATTTTCCCAATAGTTTAAATTCTGCTCAGTATCCTTATAGCAGCTTTGTTTTGCAATAAAAGGCAAATTCATATTTATTTCTCCTTGATTTGAATGTTCGATTTATATAGACATCAACTGTAATTTATTTAGGTTTTTTTCTATTTTGTAATGAATCTTGGATGACATTCTGTCAAAATAGTAAAAACAGAAACGCCATCTCTGCTTTTATGCTAACTTAAACCATTAATATAATCTAGTATCAGAAATAGGAAATATTAATAATAGAATAACAACTTTTAGGTTTTTTTCAGGGGGAGGAAGGATATGCTAATAGCTACGCAAAGGACTTAGAAGCTGAAGAAAATAATACCGGGGGCATATAAAAAGAGGAGAAGTAATGTAATATAGACTATGTTTCTTCCTCAGCCTGCATCATTTTTTGGATTTGAGGTCTTCTGTGTTAGAAAAACCCAGGACAATAGATGGGCATCAAAACTTCTTACAATTTGGATGTATTTTCTTTATATATATTTAAGGTATCTAAGTGTTTAGAATATTAAGTTATATAACTTGTTGTATTATATTACATATATATTTTAAAGATGAGGTCTTGCTATGTTGCCCAGGCTGGACTCGAATGCCTGGGCTCAAGGGATTCTCCTGCCTCAGCCTTTTAAGTAGCTGAACCAGAGGCCCAGGCTCTTTTTATATTTTAAGTCACCAAACACAAAGGGGGAAAAGCAGAAACAAAACTTTGAGCATATCTTTAAATCACCTTCTGTTCTTTTCTAAGTGACCTCTTTAATCTACTTTATTTAGCAGTTCCCCATCTGTTCTTTAATATGCATCATTGGCTGTTCTTCCCATGGGGCACCTGATTAAATCACTGCATATTGACCTGGAGCCTAGCCACAGCAGACTGCCCCCAGTGGTGAATTCTCAGCAGGCCTTCGTTTCCATGCAGCTGCCTATTGCTGTGCTGTTAAATTGGTCTTGGCTTCTGGTTCTGACAGTTTCTGGAGGAAACTGTCTTACAGATTATTTTATTTCAAACTCTTCATTAGATAGATAAGGAAACTGAGGTGACTTCTAACAGTCTATGAGTCAATGAACACAATTTGGATGTAAGACCAGTTTTGACCCTGAATATCCTCATTTCTCAAAAAAAGCAAATAATTTTTTTCTAATTACCCTAGAAAATCTTTTAAGAGAGAGAGGCAGAGCAAGAGAGAGAGAGTGTGTGTGTGAATAGACAGGATCTAGCTCTGTTGTCCAAGCTGGAATGCAGTGACACATCCATAATTGATTGCAACCTGGAACTCCTGGGCTCAAGTGATCCTCCTGTCTCATCCTCAAAATGTACTGGGATTACAGGTGTAAGCCACCACACTCAGCCTCTCAAGAAAATTTTAATCCTCCTTGTCATATACAAATAAAGAGAAGCCAGGCTGGGCATGGTGAGGCTCATGCCTGTAATCCCGGCACTTTGAGAAGCCGAGGCAGGAGGATGGCTTGAGCCCAGGAGTTTGAGACCAACTTGGAAATATAGTGAGACCCTGTCTCTACAAAAAATTTGAAATTTAGCTGGGCATGGTAGTGCATGCCTGTAGTCCCAGCTACTCAGAAGGCTGAAGTGGAAGAATCACTTAAGGCAGGTAGGTAGAGACTGCAGTAAGGCCAGATTGTGTCATTGTACTCTAGCCTGTGCCACAGAATGAGATCTTGTTTCAAAACAAACAAAAAACAAACAAAAAATAAGTAAATAAAAAGAAACCACTTCAGAAGCAAAATGAAAGACTAAAGTTGAAAAACTATACAAATCCATTCCTAGATGGTTGAGGAGGGGTGAGAAGGTTGATTTAGAGGGGATTTTAGGGAGCAAGTTCTTTGCTCTTTGTACTTCAGGTTTTTTTTTTTTTTTTTTTTTTTTTTTTTTTTTGGTTTTTTTTTTTTTTTTTTTTTTTTTTTGAGATAGGGTCTCGCTCTGTCACCCAGGCTGCAGTGCAGTGGCGGGATCTTGGCTGACTGCAACCTCTGCCTCCTGGGTTCAAGTGATTCTCATGCCTCAGCCTCCCTAGTAACTGGGATTATAGGCATGTGCCACCACACCTGGGTAAATTTTGGATTTTTTGGCAGAGATGTGGTTTCACCATGTTGGCCAGGCTGGTCTCGAACTCCTGACCTCAGGTGATCTGCCTGCCTTGGCCTCCCAAAGTACTGGGATTACAGATTGTACTTTCGGGTCTTCCTTACATACATTGTCAAAAGCTGCTCTATTCTAAGTTTTCACAATTCTAGCTCATTCTAACTCAATACTAGGCGTAGAGCTACCAGGTTTGGCAAATAGAAATACAGGACAGCCAGTTAAGTATGACTTTCTGATAAATAACAAATAATTTTTTTAGTATAGTATAAGGTATTCCACATATTTGATGACATGTGCTAAAATTTATACATCATTTATCTGAATGCCAAATTTAACTATATTTTATGTGGCAACCTTAGCCAGGTGGTATCTTTGTAAGGAACTAGGGACACAGTATGTGATACTATTTCACACAATGGCCTAAATCCATATAAAAAATTAAATATACTTTGGAACAGGGTATCCACTTCTCTATTAGTTCCCCTGGAAATATTCACTAAGCGCCCACTTAGCTTCCTCCTGATATGAGTCTATTCAACAAATATCCCTGAGTGAATTATCACTTCATTTCATGCCCTTCACATTTCTCTCAGGCTTGTATCCTTACTCCCCCACACCCTGATGCCATTGTCTAATTTACTAGCAGCTGGCCATATACCAGGATACAAAGCACTGAACTTCACGGGTGTGCGGGGCCCTGTGTGGCACATCCCCTGGGGTGCTGCCTCCACATCTCTGTGTCTGGGGAAACTGTTTTGGTGGTGCATCCCTTCTGGCAGGATGAGAATGAAAATCCTCCTGTCTCAGCTTCCCTGCTCTCCTGGCAATGAGCGTCAGAAGTTCAGGGCCAGAGGTCCTGCGCTGAAACAGCCTGCTTGTCCTGGTTAGCAAAGACAGAGGGTAGAGGCTCCATGGGAACTGTTGGGGGTTTCCAGGCTTAGGCAGCCGTCCTGGGTGGCCCTCTGCAGCTTTATCACATCTTCGAGATCAGGAAATTCCCAGAGATGGCCCCAGATATGCAAAGGATGCTCTGAGCAGTCACTTCCCAACTATCTCTCCCACCACCCCACAGGGGAACGGATGCTCATACCAGAAGGCTCCTTGCTCTCTCCTTTCCAAGGCCCTTTCTTTTTAAGATACAGTATCTGGAACACCATTACAGACCCTTTCCTGTGGCTAGAGGAGCAGGGCTCAGCATCATGGCCAATCACTGAGAGTTGCTGTCTGTGGGCAGGAGCCAGCTGAAACCAGAAGAGCAACTCGGAAGGCAATGCAGGCTGATGCTGGGAAAAAGAGGTCACCAGACAGGAAGACGTGGCTCTAGGGAAAAGCACCTTGCTTTGGCTACGGTGGGAATCTGAGAAAAGCTGTGGTCATGATCAATGAGATTGTGATCAGACCACAATCTCATGGGTGTGGCCTGCTACTCTAAGCCAGGCCATCTTCTAGAAGGCTGAGTCCTTTAGGTAGGCTCTCTGCAGCCAGTATCAGACTGCAGGAGCCTGGGTCTGCTCTTTTGGTTCTAGAAGTCTTCAGTCAAGGAAAAGAAATCTGAATCTTTGGCCATGGCCACCCTGCTTTCTCTGTTAGCCACAGTCCCAGTGAGAGGCAAAAGTAAGGCTAGGATAGGATAGGTCTGAGACACATGCCAAAAGGCAACGATGATGACTGAACAAAGCAGCGGTCAACATCTCTGCCACAAAATCCTCTCTTTCTCCTCTGGAGCCTGACTAGCCTAGGGTGGCGAAGTAGATGGCTCTTTATGTCCTAGGCTGCCCCACTGTGCATTGTTTGATTAGTAACATGCTCTTCTGCACATCCTCCATGGGCTAGAAACAATTATAAAACTAGAGGAAATCCAATACATCAAATTGAGTCACACACAGAACTGTGTCTTTTTTTTTTTGAGATGGAGTCTTGCGCTGTCACCTGGGCTGGAGTGCAGTTGCGCTATCTTGGCTCACCGCAGCCTCCACCTCCTGGGTTCAAGCAATTCTCTGCTTCAGCCTCCCAAGTAGCTGGGATTACAGGCACCTGCTACCACGCCCAGCTAATTTTTGTATTTTTTTTAGTAGACATGGGGTTTTACCATATTGGCCAGGCTGGTCTTGAACTCCTGACCTCGTGATCCACCCGCCTCAGTCTCCCAAAGTGCTGAGATTACAGGCGTGAGCCACCGCGCCCGGCCAGAACTGTGTCTTTTAACTCATTCCTTGTGGCATTTTCCCCTCTCTGTGAGTTAGCTTTGCCTGTCCTCTGGCCTTCCTTACCTGGTTGTCAATCTTGATCTCTGTCAAGGTGTCATTTTCTTTCAATGCCTCTACCAGGGCCAGGATCCCAGTTCCAGTGATAAAATTGGATTCTATGTTTAGGCTTGTCAAGGTCTTGTTTACTTTCAGCATGTCTGCAAAAGCCTATGATGCAAAAAGAAAAAAACTTAGAATTAAGTTAAAATTTCTAAAGATTAATTTACTAAACCCCTTTCTCCTAAATTAAATACAGATATTTTCTAGCACTTAAAGAAAACCTTCACTAAATCATACTTTCACCTCCAAGTAACAAAGATACAATTTAAAATCACAATTAAAATATTTTAGTCTGGCAGCCTACACATAAATTTCATATATTTGCAAAAAATTTTTTTTTAAAAAAAGAAACTGACATAAGATTACGGATTTTTTTTTTGTTAAGTAGGGACATTAAAGAAAACCCACTACTAGCTGTTATCAGTGTCAATTTTTTAAGAAAACACATTTTAACATTCAAAGAAAAGTAGATAAGGACATAATCCCAGAATTACCCATTTTTTTTTCCTTTTAGTACAAATTGATTTAAAAAAACAAACAAACTTTTTCATTGACTAGTACTTGGGCACTATTGAATCATCTATAAATCAGAATTTTTAAAAGGCAACTTTTAGAACAAAATCATCACTGAGTGTGGCAACCCCACGGGAGACTCCAGTTTGAAAGAGCGGACTGCACATGCGCCCCTTCCTGCCCTCTTTACTCCCAACGTCTCCCACTGCCATGAACAAATAATATAATTTTTGAGAGACTGGAATTCTCACAGAGCAAGAAAACAAAACAAAAGGCCATTTGCTTGAGAAACTGCTGAAATACAGAAAATGGAAAGATTGACAGGTAAATTAGCACAAAGCAAGTTGTTGCCTGAGCTGCTAGAGACAGGTCCCATTTGAGGCAGTTCCTTAAAGAAATGCCTTAGGAACAGATGGAACAGGTAGGGCAGATGGAGCATATACTATCCCTCCCAGCTCCTTCCAGGAAAAAGAGCAGCTGCCAGCACAGCTATCAATGAAGTCTCCCAGGAAGAGCCCCTGGTGAAGCTGCTGCGACCTGCGAGAGAAGCAGTGCAGAAATGGAGGCACCTCCAGACCTTCACGCCAGTATAGTGTGGGAGAAAAGGGGAAAGGCAGCTCTGCCAGGAATGAAGTACAGTATTCCCTGCAATCTGCAGTTTCAGTTAACTGCTGTCAACCGCAGTGGGAAAATGCTAAATGGACAACTCCAGAAATAAACAATTTGTAAGTTTTCAATTACATGCTGTTCTGAGTGACTTGATGAAATCTTGTGCCCCCCTGCCCCCCCACTCTCTGTCGCCCAGAAGGTGAATCATCTCTTTGTCCAGCATCTCCATGCTGTCCATGATTCCTGCCTATCAGTCAATGACATTGTCTACTTCTGACATCTAACCATTGACATCGTCATGGCTGGATGAGCCAGGATCACCAGAGGCAGATGATCCTCCTTCTGACAAACAGTCAGAAGGGCAACAGTAGCCTGATGCAGCCCCCTATGTCATTCACCTAGGAAGGAGGATAGTACACTAAGATATTTGAGAGAGACCATATTCACAAAACTTCTGTAACAACATATTGTTATAACTGTTCCATTATTAGTTATTGTTGGTAATCTCTCACTGTGCCTAGTTTATAGGTGTGTATGTGTAGGGAAAGACATAGCACATGTCGGGTTTGGTTCTATCTGTGGTTTCAGGTATCCACTGGGGATCTTGGGACACATCCTCTGCAGATAAGGGGACTACTATATATTGAAACATGTCCCTCCCAGAATGAAGTCCTCCTAACTATAGCGACTGTAGGGGACTCCCAGGCTGCCTGTGAGCTCCTTATACATACACTGCAGAGGAGGTGGCAGGTCAGCACACCTGCTGCTGAAAAAAGCTCTCACTCATACATTCAGAAAAGATTATTTGTCAGGCTTCTACTGTGCTCTAGCAGTAGAAAAAACAAAAATCCTTGTCCTAAGAGAGGCTTATATTTGAGCAAGAGGGCATATTCAATAAATTAAATAGATAAAATACATAGCTTATCAGATGGTGACAAATGGAGAAAAATAAAGGGGTCTCTTTTTTAAGGGAGAGATCTGTTGGTAAAACAGATAGATACAACTGCAGGATAAATGATCCTGGTTTATACAAACCAACCTTTCTCTCCATTCAAAAAGATAAAGAGGCACCAATCATTGCCAGACATATTAGGAAAACCAACATCATGAAAGAATAAAGCCAAGTTGACCAAGAAGGACAATATGCCATAGAAGAAACAGACACAAATGTAAACATTCTAATTATGTATTATTTTCCTCCCTGTCCCACAAGAAAAAGAAAAGGAAATAAAGGGGGGTAGGGGGAAGAGAGAGACAGAAAACATTTTGAAAATTTTAAAAACTATGTTGAAATAAAATAAAATAACAGACATCAAGAATTACAAAATAAGCATGGCTGAAGACCAAGGTGGTGATCTGGAAGATAACAGGATACTTCCAAGGACATAGAGCAAAAAGACTAAGTTAGAAACTATGAGAAAACCTTAAGAGATGAGGATGAAAGATGCAGAGATTCAACATTCATCTAAGAAGAGTTTAGAAGGACAAAAAAAATTAATAAATAAAACAGAAGAGAAATGATCAAACAACTAATGGGGGAAAATTTCCCAGAGATGAAGAAAGTCATGGATTTTTTCTTTTCTTTTCTTTTCTTTTTTTTTTTTT